GATGTCTCTGTTTTGAAGCCTTCTCAGGAAATGAGGGAGATGATCGTGATCACATTTCAGACTTTGTTATTAAAAATGTCATGAAACCATTCCAGCATTACAGACCGATATGGCTGTGTTGCTCAGTTTCAGTTTACTAAATAAAGTTAGATGATAAACTCCCACAAGTTTATATCTCTCTTTTCCCTCTGGGTGTAATGTAGTGCTATCTGTAACAGAGAATTCATATTTCATTTGGTATCTTTTTCCAGTAATCCCTTTCTAAATTAGGGCTCAGTTAGTATACTCTTTCTTATTAGATACGCATAGATTTAATTGTTTTCCCCTTTTTAAAATTTTAAAAAAGACTAGATTTTTTTTTTTCTAGGCATTCATATAGTCTTTCTGCTTGAAAAAAAGCAGTAGCCAGTCCTTCAAATTCCTACTAAGGTGAGGTTTTCCAGACTGCACATGTGCACTCTAATAAAATTGCTTTCTGTACTGCTAACAATTACAGTGTATCCTGTATTAACAGCAGTTCAGAAGTTCACCAGCAAATGTTGGTTTTCTTTTCTTACTGCAGCTGTTGTGGATGGACACAAATGTATAGTGATACAGCAGCACACTAACTGCAATATGATAACAGCATATATTAAATGTGATCTGTCCTAACATGCCAAAATTAAACTCTATTATATACTTAAATGTTTTTAGCTTTTTTTTTTAATGCGTTTTCCTCTCAGAAGCTTTAAGTTCAGCCCATAGGATACTCCTGGTGCTTTGCTCATGGCTTCTTTCAACAGCAGTATTTTGCCTTTTGAGATTCAGCAATAGATTTCTCGAGCACCTGATAATATCATATGAAAACAATTTGTCAGCACTCAGAATGGTTGTAGGAGTTTCATAATAGACATACTATGCCTAAATCCAGGACCCAAATAAATTTGCTTTTGTTATAAATGCCAACTGCCCTTCTCTTAAGAGTTTGATTCCTGCAGATGGGGGTCAGAGCTGGTTACAAGTAGATGCTTCTTTTTTGCAGTGAGCACGGGGCTGCCCTCTTTGTGTGGTTCCCCTTCTCCTCTCCCCTTGCTTCCACCATACTCCCGTTTTTCTGCTTCAGAAGATTAATTCAAGATTGCCCTGGTATGTCCATAGCTCAGCTCAGTCTGGCCAGACCTACTGCAAATGTCTGCTCAGCCCCTAGAGAGGAGGTATTACAGTTAGATGCTCCAGTCAGAGCCAAAGTCCCATATCCAACATGCCATTGCTGGCCAGTTAGCTAGAGAGCAGTAAAGAATAAGAAAACCTGAGTATAGATAAGACGTGTAACGGGAATATTTGTGCAAAGTTAATTTGACTGTAGTTTCAGAATTTTAACAAATTCAGCTTGTCTATGGTCCTTCAAAGCCAGGCTTGGCAACAGAAGAAAAGGAATGGCACGTATGAGAGAAATCCAGGACTTCTGCTTTATTGCACTGACAGAACCAAATTGTTCAATCTGTTGCCTCATCTGTTTCTTGCCATAGCTGGGAGTTGTAAAGGTCAGGCCATCGCAGCACAAAGAATATAATGGTTAACATGCTGCATCTCGCAGTGTTACCAGCTGGCTAGCGCATTTCTCCCATTGAACATCCAGGCTCTTTCCCAAAAAGCGTAAGCAGCATCCTCTGCCTATTTTGGGAATGCGTCAAAGTCAAAAGTTTCTGAAGGTGGTAATGTGGGATGCCCAGCATGGGCAGCGCTGCGCTTGACTCTTGGCGTCCTGTGCTGTGCCTTGTGAGGGTTGCAGCAATTTTCAGTTAGAAATAATGCTCGTTGCCTCGAGAGGTGCAACTTTTTTTGTTCCTTGTACAGCCAGGTCTGTTCACGGGGGAAAAAAAATTACCTTACTGTCCATTGTGTGTGTTTGAGGAGGTGTTCTCTACCAGTGTACCAGGCCCCTGACCCCCACCTCCTACCACTGTTGGGTAGAGTGCCTGGGTGTCAAAAGATTTCACCTCACAAAAGCAGTTGGGGTTATAGCTGCTCTGCTCGTTACACCCTCATGTAGGAAGAGAAGTATGGGTATGGCTATGAAGCAATAGCTAGTGTATCAAAATCACTGTGACTGTGCGTGAATAAAGGACGTAATGAGTGATACAAATAAATATGTAATGAACTGTCTGCTGTGGAAGACCTCTTCTGTTTAAATCTGCTCTTCAGCACGATGTCTGATGTACCTGTCTCTTGAAAATACCAGGTGGGTGCACAGGCAAAGTAAATGTGCTTTTGTCATCCATCCTCCTGACCCTCCCTCAGTTTTGAAGTGAATCCTCTGACTTTAGCTCTTCAATCTCCCTCTTTTTTTTCCCATATTTTAAATACATATTAAAAGATGAAGTTTGCATGAAAATTAACAACACACTCTTGGCTGTATTTGACAACATAAAACCAGAAATAAAAGCCAGTTATTCCTCCCTTCCACTATTTTTTGTTAATGGTTTTGCATCCTCACAACCCCTTACCTTTGCAGAAACCAGGTTGGTGCTTCATATCCCATTAAAATGAGTAAGCTAGCTCCGCTTTGAGGGGCTTCTGTCTGTTAATAATTGCTGGGGTTTGCTGTAGGTTATCAGTAGGCATTGATGAATCAATTAGGTTTGTAATTTAAAAGACAAATTCAAGTTCAGAAACTTATTTTGAAGAATATTGGGATGTCAAAGAAAAATCCTGTGATAGTAGGGTGGGTTAGCTAGTCTGGTGATCTGTTCTAGTTCATCAGCATGTTGATTAGAGGCTGCTTTAGCCTCTGAACACCGCTTGGCTTTCCCTCCTGAGGCGTGCAGGGCAGCCGTGGGGTTGATCCCACTGCGTATGTTGGGCACGGGCTGTGGGAAGGGGAGACGTGGCCCTGGGCCTTCGGAGAGTGGAAGCGTTCGGTTTGTGAGTTATGCCAAAGCTCTCATGACTTTTGTGTTGCAGCTGACTGGCTGGGTGGGACTGCAGCAAAAAAAACAGTGCTGTCCTTGGAGGTTAGGACCGGTTGCCTCACACCTATGGGTCTCCGTTCCAGTTGCTCACTTGGCAAATCAGAGTGACAGAACAGATACTATTTTAGCATATACTTCAGTGCTTTGTGTTAAGAAATGATATCACAGATGAAAGCTAGGGGAAAAGATGTTGATGGTTTAAAACAGAATTTACTAGTTTGGCTTAGGTTTCTAAGATGTACTAACTGCATTTTTGGCACATGTAATGAGATAAAAGTGCTTTTTGGTAAATTCTACTAGCTAAAACTTCTTGTTTGGCTAATATTATAATTAAATCTTCACCATTCAGTATTTTAAATTTTCTTTGTTATTGCTATTCAGGGAAAAGTATCACCATAACTTTATTTCTTCAAATCTTGAGAAGTTATCCAAGTCAGTGTTTGACTTAACAGAAGATCTTTGTTTTATATTTCAACACTTACTTGGAGTGCTTGTGAATGTTAAATATTTTCTTGTTTTTTTTAAAAAAAAAGGGAGGGGAGAGAGCATATTGGTATATTGGTGCATGATATTTTAGTACGTCTTGGTTTTGACCATTCATGTCTCTCATCCTTCAAAATGATGATTAATTGTGATTTACTTTTCATTCCTAAAAGGTGCCATACTTGGCAGATCAGAAACACAAGAGTGTATCTACTACAACGCTAATTGGGAGAAAGATAAAACAAATCGCAGTGGTATCGAACCTTGTTATGGTGATAAAGATAAAAGACGACACTGTTTTGCTACATGGAAGAATACTTCTGGATCAATTGAAATTGTGAAACAGGGTTGCTGGCTAGATGACATCAATTGTTATGACAGGTGAGTGAGTTTTCCTGTAAACTTTAAATTTAGTTGTAATTTTAAACTATTTTACCTGTGCGTAATTTTTACGTTGCCCCTTCTGCAAACAGTGCTTGAGAGAAATAATACAGTATTTTGTGAATAGCTATCTTATTTTTAAACGCACACCCCCATACACACCTGCTTTTATTTTTGCTCCCTGTATTTAGGGACTTGACTTCATCTAAGTACTTTGTCTTGCTTGCAGAGTAGCATGTTTCACTTTCTCTTACTATATATTAAAAACCAGGTGTTTAATTTATTGTCTTCTAGCTCATTAATAACAGATTTTTCTAATGACTTGTTGACAAACAATGCAAATACAGCTATTGAAACTTGAATGCAAAATTCTGTAGTTCACTTCTCCAAAGTCTTTGGAATAGGAAAGTCAGAAGTTGATGTCTGCTGTTTACTTCAACGTGGAAGTGTTTTGCCAATTTATTAAAAAACTCACCTCAGTGGTGACTGAGACACTGAATATTCTAAAATTCCAGTCTTTTTTTTTTTTTTACTGTAACAGATGGTCTAGCAAGTACCTGTGAGCAGTAACAGCAGGACTTGAGGTTTGTTAGATACTGGTGGAATACAGGTCATGACTCTCTTAAGAAATGGTATTATAGTTCTTTGAAGTACTGTACTAAGTTTTATTTGACCAAAACGATTGTTGTTTGGAAAGGGAGAGAATTAAGAGCATGTATGCATACTAGGTCTTCATTAAAATGTATTTAGAAATTACTTTTAGCAGTATTTTAGGAAAATTTCCTTCTGTGTTTCTAAAATTTGAATGAGTAGAAGAAATTACAGTAATTTCTACCAAATAGTTGCCCCATACACTAGGGTGTTTTCTCCTTTAATGATAGTTTAAAGCTAAGTTGAACAGTAGTTGTCATTTATTTGTTTCTCAGAGAAGTAGCAAAGTGTCTGCAAGCTTGTTTGCACAGCATGATTGAATTCAGGTATGCTGAAGGGCAATTTTAAAGAAGTCTTTATTCGTTGCTCTTAGTATCTAGTAACTGTAAGTCACTCACAATGGGAAAGTACTTTTTCTTCTTGGTGTTTTTAATCTGTTCTTAGTTGTAGCTTTGCAGAAGAAGCGGGGGTATTTACAATTTCTGAACTAAGTTCATTTCTGCTAAATGTTAAACTTTAAAGGTGGAAATAGAATCAGGATCTGTAGCATCGTTATCCCCCTAGTTCCACATGTATCTTTGAACGGTCTAAAAATAAAAGATATTAAATTCTCCCTCGAGCAAGGAAAAGAAATTGGAAGAGCAACTAAATTCAGGAAGGATGGTAAGGAAATAGTTGAAAACTGAGTAAAAATTTGTCTGGCTCTAAGACCCCATTAATTGTAACTTGTCATAAGAATGCATGCTGCCGTGTTTGTCTGAAAAACCCATTAAACAAAATCTTATCTCTGGGAGTGAAGAGTGGTTTCCTAAACAGGGAGTTACAGTATGATGAACTCCAAACAACAGCAGATGAAGAACATTAAAAAAAAAAAGTTTTATGGAAGTTACAGTACAATATAACTGTAATAGCTGGTTCTGTAACACAACCTGGGTTTTTAAAGATTAACCCAAAACGTTTTTGACAATCATCAGCTGTATTTAAAATCCTGAACTATATCTGCAGGATTTTCAAATTCTCTTTCTGCTGTCAAGTTGTCTCCTGCAATGATGCCTATTTTTCTTTCCTGACTCACATAGTTTCAGCTTACCTGTTAATAGAAGTCCTTTCCTGCAGTTAATTCATGGTGTGAAATAAGCCCTGTCCCTTAGTGTAACGTAGGCAGGGAAATTGTAGAAATCGAATCTTTTTTCCTAAAAATAAAATTGAAAAATTCTTCCCACTTATCTGCAACCACTGGTAACCCTGTACTGTGAGTTTATGGGTAAACACCAGCCATTTGATCATTTGTTTGTCCTGGCTAAATCTACATCGTGACCTGATCTTCAGTATCCTGTTGGTGGGTTTTTTTTTAACTCTGTCATAAAAACAGCAAAAATACTGTTTCAGTTTTCATGATATTTCATTGCAGTATAAAATAACAAAATTTTTAATTTGTTTCTTCAGATTTAACTCTCATTTGGGTAGAGTGTTATCCTGGATGATTAAATGAAATTTAAATTTTCAACCTAAGCATATGTTTTCTTTTGAACAAGAAAAAAATATTTAAGATTAATGAGGTGTTTTTATTATTGTCTTTTGTAGGAATGACTGCATAGAGAAGAAAGACAGCCCTGAAGTATTTTTCTGTTGTTGTGAAGGCAACATGTGTAATGAACGCTTTTTCTATTTTCCAGAAATGGAGGTCACACAACGTAAGTTCGTCTAACACATTTGTGAAGGAACAGCTTAGCAGAGTTCAGAATTACTTGATATTGGGCATGTTCAAGAGAGAAAACTTTTCCAAATGTTGTGGTCAGTGTTCCCAGCCGGAAGGTTTCTGATTCCCGGTTGATAGAGCACTCTGTGCGTTCACATAAAGAGCCTAGAAAATTGCCAGTTCATTTCTTCAATTTTGAAAGGTCTTTATATTAAAAGTAATTTAAATTGATAAAACGTGCTTCAGCTCTTTTCTAAGGGTGAGGAGGGAGGATAATCTCAAATAATTGACTGTTGTAAGATATAGAAGGTACTGTAAAATCTTACCGTAATTGTATAGTTAAGCTTCCGTAAGTGTCTATAAAACATTGGGCTAAAAGCCATATCATCCTTCTGTGTATGTACCAGCCTATGAATGCTCCTCTTCTTGAAACAAAGCTCTCACTATTTCTTTAAAGTAATTGGACCTTTGAGTTACTCTGTAAATTGACACAGTAACCTTTAAAAAGGGGGAAAGAATTTCCTCCCAGGTTACGAAGAAAATCAGATAGCCAGACTTAACAAATAATTGTTTTAAAAAACAATAACTAAAAGATTATTTGATTAGTCTTGCATATCTTCTTCCAGTCAAGAATCTAATCTTTGCTGGAAAACTGAATAATCCTAATAACTGAACTGAAAACAGCAAATGTCTTGTGTACCAAATAACCAGAGGAAGTTGTTTATGAAATTAAATAACATATTCTGTGAGATTAAAATAGCCTTTGTTGACCCAAGAGAGTATTATTGTCATTTTTGTCAATGATACTGCTAAGGCCCTAATGGACATTCTTCTTTACTCTCATGAAACCTGTTTTGCCCTGGGGATCTGTGGCTTCCACTGTCCCAGCTGTCTCAGAAGCAGGGCTTCTCTGGAGCCTTTCTTGAGCTTGTGTGGAATTGTCTTCAGGTAGAGAACTTGTGCTTTCAGCAAAACAGCAATGCATAGAAATGCTGGCAGATTATTTCTGGCCTGCTCTACTTAAGAATGACACCGTACTGTTTACATTCCAAAGCCTAAACCTCTGTATTGATTCTGTTTTCATTCATTAGGGGATGGCATTCTTGCCATCTTTTTAAAATACATACACCTCTTACATCCTGTAGATAGGCAGAGCTTAAGAACAGGAAAAAGTTACATGTGCTGTGTGTAAATCTGGGGATCCAAGATATTTCTGCTCTTTCAAAATGCTGCCTCTCTATATTAGAGTATGCTATTTAATCAAGTATTGTTAGTATTGTTGGCCTGGTGTGCTGATGGCAGGAATTTTTAGAAAATCTGGATGCTAAGCATTTCAAGCACATGGTAATTCTTGGTTTTTAAAAGCTGTATCCTCTTTTTTTTTTTCCTTCAGCAACTTCCAATCCTGTTACACCTAAGCCACCTCTGTTCAATACCTTGCTTTATTCATTGGTGCCTATAATGGGAATCGCAGTGATTGTGCTCTTTTCATTTTGGATGTACAGACATCACAAGCTAGCATATCCTCCGGTACTTGTTCCAACCCAAGTAAGTCGTTGCATTATGATTTTGGTTTTCTGAATGGTAAAACTTATTTTCTGAAGAGGAGAGAAGGGGGTTTGCATCTGTCACATGGCTGGAGTCTTCTGTTCCTTGCCTGGTTTAGAGGTGCTGTGCTTGCCACCCACAAAAGCAGAAAATTAAGCTTTACTTAAACAGCCTTACCTCCTTTAATGAATTGGTCTTTGAATGTGTGAGTAACTACTTAATGTTATTTTTACACATCTGTGTGTTTCGGAGGAGAAAAAAATTAAACACAGAACTTCAGGTGACCCAGTGTTGCTGGACAGCTGTGGGGAGTTTGCACTCCCACACGGTTAAGAGGACTCCTTGCCTGAAAATAGGGTACAGCTGCTCCCGTGGGACTGGGATACAGATCCTGGTTAAAGGGAATGTAAAGTAAATCTGCAGCTGAAGCATATCGAAGGCTTAGCTCAGGTCATGCCTTTACTGTGATTCCTGTCACCATTTTCCTTTTACTTGTTGATGTGTTTTGCCTTAAAATGTTTCAGTTTTAGCAGTGTTTGTGTTTTACTTAGAAAACATTATCAGATTGTGGTCTCCAAATTTGAAATGTAAACTGGCTGCGTTGCATCAAAACAAACCTTTTTTGGCAGCATGTGCGTAGTTCCTGCTGTTGTCAGGCTCCAGCTGATTCTGTAGGTGTAATTAATATTAATACCAGAATTCCTCTTCAGTTATGTCTAGAGATTTAATTGAGATTAGGAGGCCTTTATGAAAATAGGTAAGACAGCAAATTCTCAGACTGAAGTAAAGAAGACAAACAAAACTTGGTAGTGGAAACAGAAACGCTTTGCCCAGGGTCCCACGTCACTGGGGTTTTTGCAGAAGGAACTGAACTAAGCTTTCCTAACTCAGTGCAGTGACCACTCAGAATACATTGCCTCTCCTGCAGTGATGATGCACTGATGCTATTTATGACTAAATAAAACTAAGACACTTTGGGTTTTGGGGTAGGATTTCATTTTGAAAGGGTTTACATGTATTTGCTCTGTACTGCCAGCTTCGGTGATATTTTCAGTCTTACTGCTTGACTTCAGGGTGTTCCAGGAAGCAGTATTGTCTGTGGTTGATAAATAAAATTGGTTTAGTTTCAGTTTCGTAGTAGTAGATAAGAAAAATTTGGGGGGAGGCAGTGGGCATATGTTCTTGCCAAATGAAAAGAACATAATTTAGAGGAAAAAAGTATGTTTCCTGTCCTTGCAGAAAGTATTGCAGATCCTCAAACTCCATGCAATCTGTTAGCATAATTACTTCATCCATCTCGATTTTTATGTATTTGGGACTTTACGTCAACCTAGTAATCTTCTCTGTAAGATCAGATTCGTAACTGCTAGTTGTGTGAATAATTTCAGCATGTGATTTCCTTTCTAGACTTAAATAAAGTATAAAGTGATAGAAAAGCAAGCAAATGTTAAATACCTGTGAGATACCAAGAACTTGCATTTTGATATTCTTCCTCCCTCTCATTACAGTTCTTTTCTTGCATAGTTTGTGTTTGGTACAGGAGTGGACACGTCATAATTTTTAATAAATAGGGTAATAACCTGTTTTGTTAATGCTCAGATTGTATCTGTTGGGATAAGTATATGTTGGTGCTTGAGATAGTTATGTTGTAATAACACTTTCTTATCATGTGGTGAATAGGAATTAAGGTTTGATGTGGAAAGTCAGGAAAAGCTACTTCTGCCTGAAAAACTAAATAAAATTATTATGGAAATAGAATGTATAAATATTCTCCCATATGCAGCAGAGCAGTATTTCCCACTTTAAATTTGATTAGAGCTGATTTGAACAGGAGGCAGAGGAAGCAGGAAGAGAGAGAAAAGTATTAGTAATTTTATAACCACGAAACAAACATTTAAATATTTATGCAATTAATACATTAAATATTAATATTATATGTAACAATTAGGGCATGAGTAGAGTTTATAGGCAAATGGATTCTTTTCTAAATCTTTCCGTAGCAAATGGTAGAACAGATAGATCAGATGTATAGCAGATCCTCCCTAGAAAACAGGGATTTCTCTGTATGAGATACAGTTAAAGGTTATCTCATTTTACTCGGTTTATTCCTGGAAGGCGATGGGAGTGCTTGGGTACAGTATGCCCTGGTGCTAATCTTTCCTTCAGTACAAATTAAAAGATAGATGAGGGATCAGCAAAAGATTAAAAATGAGGAAACACTGAAGAATGAGAAAATTTGGAAGAATTAGGAGAAGGGATAAGTAAGTAAAAAATCAGAGAGGAAAGGGAAAGAAATTGGAATATTTAAAAAAAAATAAAAAGGAAGAAATATGCTAGAAGAAATTTTTAAACTGTAATGAAATAGAAAGGACAAACATCTGACAAAATGCGAGCAACTTGGTTTTCTTTCAAAAGTAGAATTGGTTTATGCTCTGTGCACCTATGGGTCAGGCAGTTCCTACACAAACCAAGCTCAGTTCCCAGCTATGTGGATTCACTTAAAACCTTATGTTCCCTTTGAATGCACAGAGAACTATTTTAAAATTTCACACAGCAGAACTAGTTTTCCTAGGTTTGGTTTAAGACTGAAAGCGGTGGGTATTTTTATTTGCTCCTTATGTGTTTCATTCTTAATTTCTTTCAGATATTTGGGTAGAGAGGTCAAGGGGGCTGGTGGAGTAGGTAGCTGCTGTGAGTCTCTTCGCTGGTATCCCAGCCCGGAGGCGTGTGTCCAGCACGGCCGTGGCAGAGCCGAGTGCTCCCGGGTGCTGCTGCCTGTGCAGGGACCTGGCGTTGCTCCTGCTGCTCCCTTTGGTCTTGGCTTCTGTACTTCTTTGTCTCTTGTTGGTGCTGTTAACTGTACGTCTCACTTTATTGTGTGGGGTGCTCTCTAGTTAAAGCTGTCAAATTTTATAAAATCTGTCACACTTTAAATTCTTAAATGAGTTATCAACAAATGTAAGTTTGCTAAATATGTATGTGTATATGTAAAATGATTTGAAAGAACTATTTCATTTTCTTTGATTTAATCACGCAGCAAACATATTCATGTGTCTGATCAAATTTACCAAAAAATGGATTAGTATTATAAAAATTTGAGTGTGTGTTTTTTGTATAGAAAGAGTTACTCTCACCTAGTTAATTTTTGCTCACGAGCATCAGGTACACTTGAAAATGAAACTCCGCAGTCTTTGCGGACAAAGGTTTTCACCCTCAAATGAGGTGTAGTTCAGATTTCCCCACAGCATCCTACTAATATTCCTGGTAGAACTATGAGTGTGGATGGCAAGGAGTTGATATGTTGTGCTCATTTATTTTTTACATCTCTTGAGCTCGGGCCAGAGTTGTCAGTCAGTGCTAATTACAACTGTAGTGTTACCACTCTGTCATCTGATAGAGGGGACCATAACCTATTTTATGGCATAACTGACACAAGTAACACTTTGGGTTTTTATCAGTTCACAGGGCTGTGGCTCCCAACATTTTACATCCATACTGTGCAAAGAGATTAACCTCTTGTACTTTTTGTTGAGTGCCCAAGTTATGAATATCTTACTGGATCACAGATTTGCTTTTTTTGTTTTGTGTTGTTTTTAAAATAAGAGTCATATGTTGAGAGGGTTGAAAAAAAAAAAAAGCTTTACAGATTCACATAATGTCTTCATAACCTATTTTTGTGCTTTCTTCTGGAACGCTTGAAATTACTTGGGTCAAAGATGCTTCATGTTTTTAATCACTAATCACAAGGAAGCCCTGATCAAGGCCTGTCTAGCGTTATCAGAAATTTTAAAACTGGGAATGGACAGATTCTCTCTGTTAAGAGTGTCCATAAAAGCAAGCTTAGTTGCTAGGAATTACCATTTCTTTTTGTCCTCAGAGAGGAGGATTACATAGTTGAAAAGTACGATACATCTTCTGCTTCTAACCTCTTGTACATTACTTTACTTTAAACTTTTCACCCAGTATTCCATGTATTGAACACAATAATCTTACGTGCTTGCTTTTTTTTTTTTCCCTCCCTGTATGGATGAATCTTACTGGTCCTATATATCTATATCTATATATATACACACACACACACACACACACACAGACATAGAGAACATCCCTTGTCTTCAAAGTCATGTGCTGTGTGAACCAAGAATTAAGAATAATTGAAGCCCATGTATCAAATATGGAGAGATGTAGATTTTATGTATCTCAGGAGGGTTTTTTGAGCATAAGAGAATACTCTGCTTTTGGTTGATGGCAATTTTAGTGTCTCTCCCTTTGCTACTGTACCACAAAAGTCTGTCTTCAGCATATCTTTTTCCTGAAGACACCCAAGTATGACTAGACCTTTGTAGCTGTGTCATGGTTGTGATATTTCAGATTCAGCTGTAAGAAATTAGAATTGAAAACGGTATCACATAATGTGAGATGAATAATGATGAAGGAGGAAAAATCTCTCGCAGTGGCAGATGCAAGACACATTCTGAACTACCGACTGCAGGTCCGACTGCCTGGGTAGCACTAGAAAAACAAATTCTGTGTTGGAAACTAATAAAAAGAACATATAACAAGAAGCACTCCTCTTTGCTGCAGTTTTTAACCTCAGACATCTGGTCTAGGCCGCCACGCCTGTGCCAAGGAGTTTGGTGAGTGTGTGTAACTTGAATGGTTGGTTTTCAAAAAACCCATCAAAAGTAATTAGTAGTGGGAAGTTTTTTATGATTGGCATTGGAAAATATTTTCATTTATTCTCTTTATTCTCCACATTAACTTTTAGCACATCAAATAATCTACTGGTACACTTAAAATTTCTGGGATAATTTTTATCCTTTTACCACACCAGGAAAATCAGTTGGCTGCTGAAGAAGAATGAAGAAATCAAATCAAGTGTCCATGTTTTTTCCATTTTTGTCTTCCAGCCACAATATTTCTTCTTCTTGTTGTTGTAAATATTTTAACAGAAACATTCTAACACTTGAAAAATGGAGAATAAGAAAGGGAGAGGGTTTTTTTGCAAGGACTTATTCCAAACCTACGAAGATTAATAGCTACTTGAAAAATAAATGGAGGAGAAGCCAGGTGCTTATATGGAATGGAAAAAGATTGATCAACAGAGAAAAGCTGGAGCTCAGGAAGAGGAAGAATTTTTAAAAAATAAAGACTGAATTGAGAGCATGTGGCTAGCTAGGAAGGAGTTAAGGTTGGGTACCTATCAGTGGTTAATGAATGATTAGCGTATAATGAGGGGCAATGTTGGTATTAAAAAGGAATAGCTGAATGAGCTCAGGATTTGAACTGCTGGATGTGTGCATGATTTCGCATTCTCTAACATTGCATTTTACATCTTCAGGACTAGTAAGAATTTCTTCTATAATTGATTCCAGTCAATAGCTGGAAGGACCTGGGAGAAAGATCTGGTGCTGTCGTTTGATTGTGGTACTGTGAGGCACAACCATGATATGGTTGTTTAAAGGCAAAAAAAAAAAGAAAGAAAAAAAAAAGAAAAAAAGAAACACAAATAGAGGGATACTGTGAGAATGCAGTAGGGAAGTTATTACAGATAAGGAGTCCTTAATGTGTGGTTGGTAAATAACTTGTAACTGGGTGTGTTTCGTTTTTTTAAGAGTTCATGGGCTGTTGCAAGACAAGTAGTTCCTTAAAATCTTTAACAGAGGGAAGAGTTTGTATGACAAATAATTAAAAACCAAGTACATAGTGATGCATGCTTTTTTCAGTGCTCAGTATGCAGCCAGACATCAGGAACTTTGGTTCTAAATATTGAGAGCTTTAAAAAAAAATGTTTTAAAAGTGGTTTCCTGAATTTTCCATTTGCTTTCAGAATGTGCTATCTCCATTTAAATAAACCATAAAGGCAGCTATTTTTTTTTTTTATATTTTCAAGGGGTAAGAAATACTAATCCAGACTTACAGTATTTTACCCTGAATGGCAGCCTAAAGGGAACTTTATAATTAAATTACAATTAAATTAAAAAACTTGTTTCAAATGTATGTCTGCAGTGACCTTCAAGTTACTTTGTGTTTTTGCATTGATTCAAGCGGAGCATTGTCTTACAGTATAAAGGATCCAATTTTTAACTTATTCCTGGCTTATTAAAAAGTTGGTTTAGTTTTAGGATTAGGCCAGTACAGAGTGGGTCTAAGAGGCCAGTGCAAGATGATGTGCATCCATCTGGTAAAGGCTGGATGTAGGCAGTACTGTGTGTCTTATTCTCCTAAATGTTGCCTTGGCATATACACATTTAACAAGTGACAAGACACTGAAGGCTTTTACAGCACTATATTTAATTTGCCTTGAAGAATTTCTCTCTGTCGTTCATTCATTGTAAACAGTAATATTCAAAATGATCTACATCAGCTAGACCACATTTAGATTACAGTCTTAGCGCTTCAGAACAATCCTAGGAAGGCCAAAATACTGATCCCTGAAATCTGCAATCAGGTACTCTACCTTCAGGAGCTTTTAAATAATTTTCCACAATAAAGTTCAGTTTGCTGCATATCCTCAGATACGTGCTTCTGAATGTTTTTGATGGGTGCTTTTCAGGTAGTCTGTTATATCACTAAATGGATCAGAATTCCACATTTCACAAGGTATAAAAAAGTCATTCATTTCACCTTACATTCTCCAAAGAGTCTGAGGTACTGAGGGTGAATATACAGATGTCATATTTAGGGTACTAGTTAGGAACAAATGAAGGGATCTGCACAATAAACTTGGGGGAAAAAAAAAAAAACATTTATTTTCAACACGGTATTTAGTAACTTATGCGACATATTTTGAAGTTCAGAATACGGTTATGGATAGCCCACATTTTGGAAAATACCACACTCCTTGGGGGTTTTTTTGGTCTAATTGGTTATAAATATCACAGTTATTTTCCTAAGCCTTGATAAAACCTTTAAAAGTAGTTTTCAGGCAGTATAAATAGGAAGTTAGTGTGTTTCTATCCATTTGTATAGATGATAGCTACTTTGTGGGGCAGCAAATTGCTCCCAGTTTTTATTTATAAGAGTTCTATTAATTCTTGATACAAGAAAGCAGATAGTTGCATTTCTGTAATAACCTGATACTGCTTAAACTGGTGATACTTGCATTTCTAATGAAAAATCTGAGGTGGTGATCTGTAAATCTAAAGGGAAGGACAGTTTTAAAATCAGGTGGTCTGTGATGTGCATAAATCTCCTTCAAAATTTTCATGTGTGTCTTAATTTATTAGTGTTTGGGGGAAGTTGATCCCTTTAAGAGAGTAGCAAGAGGCTTGGGAGAGGACTTGTTTCTCATTATGGTAAGAGCAAAAAGGTTGGATTCACGTATCTCTTTCCTTATTTCTGAGGAATTTACAGAATTCTCAAGAGCTGGATATTTTTAATAGCAAATAGGCCCGAAAGAAAAGACTAACTTTTTTACAGCCATAGGAAAGATGTTTCTTGAATCGCTATTTCATAGAAGCAATGCTTTTAGATTTTTTGAAGTTATTGTCTGTTCTCTGACTACTTGAGTTAGTAGAATTATGAGTACACAGAGATAATTTCTGTTACTCTGTTCAGTAGCCATTCACTATCAGATTGACAGATGGAATAATTTTATTTGACTACTGTTTCTGACAAAGGAATATGGGGAGCTTGAAGGGGGAACCTCTTTGAGTAACTGTGCTCGTGGTTGGTGGACTTTGCACTGCAGAACCTTACTTGTAGTTTTTGCAAGTATACATGGAATAGTTGTCACTGCTGGAACCACCAGCTCACAGAGATTAGGAGGTGAAGATGATCAGCTGCTCTGAAAACCAGTTTTAAGGGTCTGTCTTTTTTTTTACAGCGGGTTTTGTTTGATTTTTGATTTTTATTTTTTTTTTCCCTTACGAAGTGCCCCAAAATGTTTGCAGGCTGTACAGATCTTGCAAGAATCTGCTTCAGGCTCTTGAGGTGGGTGTTATCCTCATCTCCGGTGGTTTGCTGCCCGGCAGCGAGCCTGTTGGGCTCCAGCTCTTTAGTGCTCTGTCAGTGGCAGCAAGTTCTATTACAGTATTTATAAATCCGACTCCCAACTAATCTAGCCTTCGAGAAATACCTCAGCCCTTCTATTATTAATTATTTAGATAACGCTAAGTGTGTGCTAGACAGTTTTCAAGCATAGAGAAAAGCCTCTTGTTGGCCCTGCGCTCTGTAGCATCCTAAGCATGTAAAGACAGAAGGGTGAAGAAAAGGATGATTGCTGTTATGTAGCAGCTAAATGCTTCAAGCGTCTGAATTCCATGTTCTTGCAACATCTATCTGATCAAATTATAAAGGAGAAAGAAAATGGCTGAGGCAAAAGTACAGGAGGAGGAACAAAGGTGTCTCAGCGCTTCTCTGCTTGAGTGGCGATGAGATTGTTCAATAAAAACAGATGAAAGGAGCACAAACAAGCTTGTCATTAAAATGTTTTTTTAAGTTTCCGTAACAGTGCTCTGAGACTCAGGTTTTTATAATGGATTTCATTCCAGAGTCTGTAAACTCATGTGATCTCTTTGAAAGAACCTTTAATATTGTAATCTCCCTTTATGTATACTGGATGTAGTGATTTCGAGTTGACTTGTTCTAGCATGCCAGATGTATTGATTAAATTTAATAATATAGACCTAAGATATGATGACCTAGTTGTTTATAAGGTTTAGCTATAACTTAGACATTAAAAAGTTCTGGTTTTCCACAGCTAGCTACTAATTGCAGTGAATTTTTAAAAATACAACGCTGCCCTCTACTGTACAGTTGTGAGTGTAACAAGAAATGTTTGCATAACTTGAATTTCTGTTTAATTTTCTGCATGTGTTTATATACTCTTTTGTAGTAACATGACTGTTTATTTAAACTGGAATTGTCCATTGTAGGTGTATAATAACATCAATTCAGGTGATGGTCTGTAATAATCTTTTTTCCCCCCCTATTTTTCTTGGTAACGTTTCAGTGATGGGTTTTTTTATTTTAAATGATCCAGCATTAGTACAAGAACGAATTGCTATCCCCATGAATATTTTTGTTAATTCACAAAAATTGATTTTTATCTCTTTTCTTATAAGCTGTTTTTAAATCCCATTCTTGGTATAAATAGTAATTTCTTTTGCCTGTGTTTTTTCCCCTCTCTACAAGCACGCCTTTCATATAATGATTGAGGTAAGATGCATTGATGTTTGTTCATGGTTATGGAACTTTCTGTGGACATGTAAGAAGTTGTTTTGGTATGAATTACATTTTTTTGGTATTTTGGACAAGAAATCTGTAAGCATGCGTGGTTTAAAAATACAGATTTACTCTGCTGTTCATAGCTTTCTTTAAAGTGCACTGCCATTTCTCAGGCTATCGAAGTAAATGTCTGCAGGGATGGATAATGAAATACAGCAGGCATAGTCAGTCTGTGGTGGTTCTTCAGCTACAGACAAGCTCGCTTGTGTCGCTTCCACCCTCGTGGCGCGTGGTCTGGGCAGTGCTCAGGGCTCTGCTGGTCCAGCCTCAGGTGGTGGGAGCCTGCCGGCAGCAGGGACCGCGTGTCCCACTGGGGTGGCTTCCCCTGGCACTAAATGGCACTTCTGTCCTGTCTTGGGTAGCTGTTGTCATCTCCCACCTGTGTACCTGGAGGTGTGTGGTCTTCATCTTGTGATTCTGAGTGGTGTGATGGGCTTGGAGAAATAAATCACCTGAAGGAAAAATATTCTTTCACTATTAAGTCTCTACTTGACTTTTTCACTGACCAGAAGTTATTTGTACTTGTATTAAATTACTGATACCTCATGTGAAACCACATGTAACCAAAAACTGTTAATCCAGAAGCTTGGTTATTGTTGCTAGGCTTTTAATTTAGGCTTTAAAAAGTCAAGGTTTGAGTTATAATATGAATGCTCAATTTCCATTGTCTCTATAGGTCTCTAATTAATAGCTGAAATGCCCTGTAAATGTAATTTAGGAGAACATAGAATGATACTATTCGAGTATTTTCATGAATATCTTGCATCTGTAAAGAGTTATTGGAGTTCCCTTCTATTTGTATTACTGCTTTGCTTGAAATGCCATCATTTCTGTTAGGGAAGAGGCTGAAGTGTCCTGCATACAAGTAAATACTTTGTTTATATTACTTTGGAAAATATGTCTGCATTGTACAATAAAAAGCAGGATTTTGTGGGGCTGAAAAGGAGAAAAATTGTTGCCATTTAAAAGAAACGTAGTTTGATACAAATCGGAGTCAATTATAGAATAATTACAAAATTTAAGAATTCTGACTCCTCCTTTTACTGTATTTGCATCTTTGCAGATCATCTGGTTGAAAATGAGCCAGTCCCAAACTAGAAAGGGAGGAAGCAACCAAGATAGTCATCAGAGTCTTTCAGTGAGAACTTGTTAGCCATATTCACAGTATAAGGTAGAAAATAAATGTAAGTAAGGGGAAATAGTGCACAGTTCAACAAAGAGAGCTTGGCCTGCGCTCTGGAAGGTGGAGAACTTGTTTATATTTTGGAGTCAGGAAAGAGAGAGAAATGTTTCTCTGTACAACCCTGTTTGGATAATTGGTCTTTTTCTTTTTTTTTTTTTTTCCTTTCCCTTTGTTACCTGCTTCAGTTGCCATATGAGAGACATAACGAGATAAACTCAAGTGCTGACACTGTGGTGGGGCAGGTCTTTAAACAATCTGTTCAGCTAGTCATATTTTTAATGGATTTGTAGTTTCATGTTAAGTTTCTCTCTGATTTTGAGAACCAGTCTTGAAGACGCTTGAGGAAACCTATTTCTGGAAGTTACCATTCTTTAATGATGATTTTCCCTGGGTTCTTTTTCCGATATGACTAGCATGCACTACCTGACAGCTCACTGCAACTCCCAGCTGTAAAAATCCAACCCAAAAAGCCCTGTTTGAGATTTGAGACGAGAGCTTCCCTCTGCCTTGCCGTGCTTTTTGCCTTAAACTGATTCCATTTACTAAAACTAACCTGATTTTAAAAACAAATAAAAGCTTCCAGGCAATACAGAGTATTGCCTCAGTTTGTTGCGTGGTCAAACAAGGACCAGAATGAGCCCAAGGGAAGGGACAGGGAAAGCTTGGGAACGGGAAGTAGGGCCCTTATTTTTTGACAGCTGTGGCAAGCTGTTAGACTAATAAATCCACATTATATCTTTACTCACATTGTATCATCATCCTAGGCGCCACAAAGATGATTTTAAAAAGCCATACAAAAATAATTACGCCTGTGGCACATTAAACGTTTTTACTTAGAAGTAGAGCGAGTTGAAAATATTGACCAGGAATGTTTCTGTATAAAAATAGTACCTGTAGTTTTAGAATAAATGCCTGTTGATTTTAACAAAGTTGTTTAGAAGGGGGAAAAAAAAAAACAAACCCACAACAGAAAAAAACCTGGAAAACTATTCTTTTTAGTTATGTTGACAGAAGGCAATTATACTTTCCATTTTAAATCAGGATTTGTTTTGATTTGTGTGTGTGGGTGTGTGTTGCTTCTTCAGAAGAATGCCGGAAGTTTTGACTTCGTAGAAATGTTTCAACACGAAAGGGAAATGTGCAGGGAACCGCAGGAGGCTGCTATATAAGGTAGTGGGAATTTTTTTGGGGGGAAAATTTGAAATGCCAGGATTTTCTAGGAAATGTGAAATTCAGGAATGTGAGACATATCATGGTCTAAGGTGAAAGGAAGAAGCACCAGTTTTAACTGGGCAGTTTTTCCTGAGGAGTTACTGCCTTTTCTCATGTGATAGATGCTGTAAGTTGGGGTTTTTTTCATCAAATCTTTGAGAACTACTAAGTAGTCGAGAAAAAATTCATATAGTGTGCTTCAGAATACCGGCAGATTTTTGTGGGTGGAGGTATTGAAAGGAAAGGGAACTGTTCTAGTCCCTAAAGTAAAGTGAGATTTGGGTTGACTTCCCACAAATTGTTCTCTTAATTTAAGCAAGTCACTAGGTTCAAAACTTTTTAAAAGTTGTCTGATCTCCTGATGTTAAATCCCCAAATGCCACACAGTGCTCAGGATTCTTGAAAATAACAAGTTTTTTTTACAAGTTAAAGCAGGCTTTTGTGAGTAAATTTGGGCATCTAGTTTCACTTCTAACTGTAACTATTGCAAATTGAGGACAGTGAATTTCCCTGGTGCCTGAAATAATCATAAATGGCTTTGGCACTGAATGAAAGGCAGCACGGGAGGGAAAACTTAACTCTTAAACTTCATTTTCTGTATTGTTGTTTGTCCAGTTTAAATCCAACAGTTGATGTAACAGCTGTAAGCATCTCTTGCTGTCATATTTGTGAGAGGATTCCAAACTTTTTTGAGGATAGTATTGTAATGTGTCTCTGATCTGAATTTCAAACATTCCATCTTCTTTTATAGTTATTAATCTGGGGAATGAGGTTACAGTTTCTTTAAATTGCTATAAATACATCTCTCTATGAAATTTGTTCTTTTTGAAGGATATATTTGTTGCTTAATCAGAAACAAGAGACTGGTGATTCATACCTGTGCTTAAACTGCTCAAAGCTTTTGTTGGATACAGAGGCACTTGTCTCCATTCTCACAATAGTATACTTCAAACCGCAGTTGCTCCGAAAATGTGCCTTTAACATGCACAAGATTTTTACGTTGCTAACTGAAGTGCTCAAATACTTAACTGTTGAGTACTCTCAATTCTTTCATCAAAGCAGATACTCCAGTGTTTTTCGTTCTTTCTCTTTAAAACAACATTTCAGCTGTGACAGTTTGGGCAAAAATAGAGAAGCCAAGTTTTGGAGGCTTTTTTAAACAGTAGACTTTTTTATTGTGTTTTGCTGGATTTTTTGTTGTTGTGTTCTGCTGTGTGGATATAATTTTAAAGTGATATCCACTTTTCACTTGTATGTTTCTTTCTTATGTAATATTGACACTTATGGTACAGTTCTGTGGTCTGCACAGACCTTCACTGCCACCAAGAGCAGCTGTTCACCTCTTCTTGTCGCTGATCTATCAGTCTGCCCCCAGGCTACCATCACGGGCATTGGCATCTGCCATTCCCTGTAGTAATTTGGACTGAGGAATAAATCGAAGTTTAAATTTAATACACGGGAAGGTGGAAAGAAGGTGGAGCTGTCTCTCGTGGTAATTCTGCTCAGGGACCACTACACACCAGGACTGCAGGAAACGGAGATCAGGCAGAAGAGAGTGTTTCTCTGGTTCTGTGCGTAGGGTTATGCCGTTTGATGCAAAGGCATGTGTAAATGGGTCTGGTGTGTTTGGTGCTGGTAGGGAAGAAGCTTACACAGGTATGACCTTAACCTAGTGTGGTAGATGAGAGAGAAGGGCCAGCCCTGAAAGAAGCCTGTCTTTGGCAAAAAAGTTGAAAATCTGATTGTTATATTCAGACGCTGCGTGTGACACAGAATGGAAGATGTGTAAAATGTGTTGATTAGGACAAGAGGGAATGGCCTCAAGCTGCCCAGGGCAGGGTCAGGCTGGCTCTGAGGAAGGATCTCTGTGCAGAAGGGGCTGTTGGGCGTTGGAATGGGCTGCCCAGGGCAGGGGGGAGTCCCCGGGATCCCTGGAGGGGTTGAAGAGTCGGGCTGAGCCAGCGCTGAGGGATCTGGGGGAGTTGGGAACGGTCAGGGGGAGGGTCATGGTTGGGCTGGAAGAGCTTCAGGGGCTTTTCCAACCGAGATGATTCTGTGAAATAAAACGTACAAGATATTCGATAAGCTGTCGCATTTTCTTGCCCAGAAAGGGGAGCTGTTCAGATCTGTCAGGGTTACATGGAGAGCTGTATGGAAGCGCTCTCTCGCTTGCAGTTGTACTTCCCAGCTCGTGGTGTCATATTTGAAAAGGAATTACCGGGTTAGTCCCTCAGTGAAGTACAAACCCTGTAAGATAGGACAAGATAATCTCTCCCCAGTTCTGTTTCTGGGGTACAGCCCAGAACTCACATATCAGTAACGTATTGGCTGTCTACGTTGGAAATTTGGGGGCAGTAGAAGTGGATGGGTAGGTTGAAGACTCGGTGCTGTGGCTCTCCTCACACCCCTTGCAGGGCTGACTCTGGAGGTGCTGCCATTTGGATTCCTGTGCCAAATGTCTGCACTATACACATGGATTAATGGGTTCTGAATGAAGAAAAATGCTAGTTAATTCCTGGAAGACCTTGCAGTAGCAAGGTTGGCTTTGCAACCTTACGCCCCTAGTAAGCAGTGGAGTTTTAGAAGTAGTACTGGTACCGGCTCAGCAGTTTGGGAGCAGGGACGCGGTGTATGTGGTAACTGCAGACAGAGAGGAGATTCACTGCAGCTCTGCACTGCTGCCCCCAGCCAGAATCCTCCCGCAGATACCTGCTGCTGCCCGGCTGGTGCCCCAGCGATGCAGGGAGTCACCCCAAAACGGCCTCTGTGGCTTCAAGCCACCAGGCCACTGAGCTATAAAGGATTAAACAGGTCTCAGTGTGTCAAACAAACCAACCAACCAACCAACACATCCTTAAATGTGTCAACGATGCTCGTTTTAATTCTGTCTCTTAAAGTAACAAGTAAAGCTTGATTATCTTTATTCCTTAATTTCTGCTGTGCTTTTACACCTGGTTAGACAGATTTATACTGTAACTGTTATGCTGTCGCTTGCACATTAATTCTGAGCATGTTTTACAATCTCTTTAGTTTTGTTTTGTTTTCCCTGCGGAGAAGGGTTGCTGTTTTTGTTTCTGGCTTGTTTGGGGGAATTTGTTGCAAGGGGGGGTTGGATACATGATACAAGTCTCTTCCAGTTTATGAGCCTTTATTTGTAGTGCTGCCATCATAGCACATGTAATAGCAAAACTAATTAATGCTTTTAATCCGATTTCAGGATCCTGGACCACCACCACCTTCACCGCTGATGGGTTTGAAGCCGTTGCAGCTACTAGAGATTAAAGCTAGGGGAAGGTTTGGTTGTGTATGGAAAGCTCAACTACTAAATGAGTATGTTGCGGTCAAAATATTCCCTATTCAGGTAAGCAGAAGTTCTTGGTGTTGCTTGTAATTTCATAATGTTAAACCAGCTTTTCTACTCACAATAAGAGGCTTTTATTTTAGAGAATTTTCAGTATATACTGGAAATCTAGATAGAAATATCTAGAGCTGAAAAATGCACAGATAGAATTTTATTGAATTAAAATCAGCATTTTAATGCAAACATGTAATTGAAAGAAACTCTGTGAAATTCATAAAAATACGTATTTGGCATGACTAGTTTCAAGCAGCTCTCACGTCTCTGAGAATGTAATATTTTTCAAATTAAATTGTACTTAAAAGGAACATCCTGAAATGCAAACCTATAAGGTGACTGTTTCTATTAAATACGCCTCAATTAAGTGAAATAATATTTCCTTCCCAGCAAGTACCTTCTGAAAGCCATGTTTTAGAATAGATTGTGTTCATAATTTTAAAATCCAGTCTAGTTAAAGAATACAAAGTGATCATACATAATGCTATCAGGATAGATTTTACATTAATTAAAACCACCACTCACTACATGAGGTGAGGAAATGTGCTTGTGTGTTCTGATGATTAACCAAGCGTTCACTTGCTGAATAAATACATGTGCAGGTTCTTACTCTTCTAGGAGAAATGGCATGTACTTATGCTGGTTTCAGCCATCAGCACAACATAAATTAAATCTGAGACTTTGTTCATTATTTTTAATTAAGGAAAACCTATTTCTAATTCTTTATGGGGTTCTTGAAGGTTAAGAAAATACAGAAATTGAACCATGCTCTTAAGACTAAATCAGTGGTAATGATTTGCATTATGTAGGCTCCAGTCCTAATCTACAGCTTTACTGTGTTGCCCTGGTTCATACCTGTGAAAGCTGAGGTGGTTTTCAGCTGTTGATGTTTGTTCATAACAAATTAAGTTTTTCAGACAATTTTCTACTATATGTGAGTATGCAATGTATGTGAAGACAGTTTTTCAGATTTTTTTTATATTTTAGGTCAGTAGTTACTAGCACAAATACTGCTATTAGCATAAACATTTGTAACTTTTAATTAGGCATCCTCATAATGTTAATAGCATACACTGTGCTTTCTCTCCTTTAGGTAGCAAATCCTGTCTTTCCAAAAAAAAAAGTTTTAGTCATTTTGACAGCTTATTTACAAATGCACAGTAAATTGTAGGAGAAAGTCCCTCTTACTGCCGTTATTACAGTATTAACTTGGTTTCATGATCTTCTGTTTAAAGGACAAACAGTCATGGCAGAACGAATACGAAATTTACAGTTTACCTGGGATGAAGCATGACAATATTTTGCAGTTCATTGGTGCAGAGAAACGAGGCACTAGCATTGATGTCGACCTCTGGTTGATTACAGCATTTCATGAAAAGGTACGGTTAGTTCCAATGTAGTTTATTTTCTTTATGATTATGACAGAGGAAGAACAGCCTTGGAAATGTCACAAATGTGAACTTGAGACAGTTAAGAAATAAAATTTAAAATGGCTTTCTCTTCAAGTTAGCTTGTCTCTTTTCAATGGATATGAATTTATTTAAATTTATTTTCAGGCAGCTGAGAAAGTTGTCATCAGTCTTTACTTAATGGAGGAGTTGTTTTAGAAAACAAAAATTCGTTCTACTTTTTTGCTTCTGAGAATGTGTATTTTTGAATATCTCCCATCTAAACCTGCCTAAATTAAGCTCCATCTTGCAGAGATCCTGCTGGTTTTTTTTCCTCGTATTAGCAGACTTCAGTCTATACGAATGAAGTGATACCTATCAAATCTATTGTGCTAACTGCAATAAATCTAATTAAGGATGTGGTCACTATTTTGTTTTATCCACTTTTTTTTTTTAATGCATGTAACTGTCACAGAGATGTAAGTACAGAGAGAAAAAACAAAAAGCACCCAAACTTAAATTTAGCCCTAGCACAGGCAAAGAGGCATTAGATGTTACCTGTAGCAGATGTGAGAAAATGCAAATTTGTGTGATATGGACATGCCAGCACATTAAGTCGAGCTCATGGATCATACTGCTAGTTTTGAATGTTACATTCTTCATTCTGACTTTTTCGTCTCGCTTCTGCTTTAATAATTCAGAAGTCCAATCAACTATTGAAAATTTTTGACAGATCTTCACAGTAAAGTAGAAAATATCAAACTAATTTGCCTTTCTGAAAAGTTACTGCTATTTTTTTGTTTGTTCTTTGTCTAAGAGTTTTAAAAATCTTGTTACTGTTAGAAAGATGGCACCTGAGATGACTCCCATTGCTGGAAATTATGAATGTTTTATTTTATTTTTAAAGCGTAGCCTCTACGCTTTGACAGCTCTTTGTTTTTCCTTTTTGTGTCGGCTTTTCACGCAGCAGCATGTGCCACAGTGACATTTCACAAACGGGATAATACATAAATCCATGAAAATGTCTGCACAGAGTGGGCTATAGAAGTGTGTTTGAAGAGAAGAGCTTTATGTTGAATAGTTTTTACTTCACATTATCTCTGTTTATTCAGAGTGTGTACTTCACTCAAAGTGTGTTGTGAAACTGGAGTTCACTGTTGTTGGTCCACGAGAGCAGACAGACTGTCAATTAAAGGCCCTCAGGAGTGGTCATACACATTTCAGTGAGATTCTTGAAGGTGAATCTGACCTGTAATTTCCCATGCCCAGAAGATGATAAATCATATTTGTAAAAGCAGAGTTGTCTTTATAAAGAATTTAAATACCGTAAGTTGGGCTCTCATGTCTGACACTGACAGTCAAGTGCAGTTATTGTCAGGTGTGCCACTGAACTCGACTTGATTGTGCTCTTTGCTTGTTGAGGTGATGGGTAGATGCATCTTGATGCTAATTGATGGCCTAGAGGTGATGCAAAGGGTAATTTTTTGTTGTTTAAACTAGCAGATGTTTGTGTATGTGTGGGTGTAATTATATGGTCCATCAGAAAACAGAGAAAGGCAGGCGGGCATATCGTGTTCTTGAATGACAGAGGCTGTCTCAGGCTTTGCTTTATCAAACTGATCTCTCAATTGTTTTTCTTTTTGGCTGCACAGGGTTCATTAACAGACTTTCTCAAGGCTAACGTGGTTTCTTGGAACGAGCTATGTCACATCGCTCAAACTATGGCTAGAGGCTTGGCTTACCTTCACGAGGATATACCAGGGCTAAAAGATGGACACAAACCTGCCATCTCACACAGGTACAGTGTATGTAAAATACTTGCAGGTGATTGTTAGCATTTAACTTTGAGCTAAAGGATGGGCAATGTGGATAGGTAGGAAGATTTCAGATAATTACTCAGAGGTATCCTCCTTCCAGAAATACTGAGAACCTCATTAGAAAAATCTGCTCGGCCTAAGCAGAAATCTAGCTGATGATTTATAGAACTTGGTGTGGTGATTGTGGTTAATGTCATAAATTCTTTTTTTTATGCAGTTAATTCTTTAAGTACCCTCTGCAGTATATGCAGTCATTGGCATTATAGCCATCTGAAACAACTGAAGCACTTATATACGTAACTTGAGGTAGTACTGAATGCCTTCAGACAGAAACATTTACTGTGAGTGGTGTTATGCCTGTTATTGAGGGTAATCGCTGGGTTTTTTTCAATGAAGTTAAGTATAGAAAGCTATTAATAGAAGTAAGGAGCTGAAGTGATAGTCATAACCAAAATGGAAGGTAGGCATATAAAGTAAGAGAAACATCCAAATTCTGCAGAATTCTGGCTAGTTCATGAGCAAAACTGCTTGGCTGATGGTAAAATGGGGGAGGGGGAGAGGTACACACAGGACAGATGGGAATCCCTGGATCGAGTCCATAAGCTTTTGTTTCTGCAGGAAATCACGTATCTCCTTGTTAGAAACAAATCAAGATGAATTTTCAGTGTTTTGTTGCCTGTCATTTAAACAAACAAAATGGAGTTGTAACTAAAGTATGCGGTACCTACATTTTCATTCTATTTTGGTATCACAGATGCTTATAAATCTGTCTGTATTTTAAAACTAAGCATAAAATGATAAATCCAAGTGCAGTCTCATACATTTCCATAAGAATAAAGGTATGCAAGCATACTCCTAGGTCTTATTATAATTATTTTGTTGTTTAAATGGACTCCTCCTTTACAATTTTCTTGCCTTTCACATTATAATTTTCTTTTTTTTGTTATATTACATTTTCCTTAGAACTTTATATGATATTTTGTGTTTTAGATCTCTAATGTTTTTGTTGGGTTTTTTTTTTTCCTTAACTTGAAAGGGACATCAAAAGCAAGAACGTGCTGCTGAAAAATAATCTTACAGCTTGTATTGCTGATTTCGGTCTAGCTTTAAAGTTTGAGGCTGGAAAGTCTGCAGGGGACACCCATGGACAGGTAAATAGATTTATTTCCATAAATGCAGATACAAACTGCATGTGAATGGAAGGGGGTAGTTTAGGCTACCTTCCTTCACAGGACACTATCATCAACCCTACTTTAACTGACCTTTAAGGAATGTGGTAGTTTGTGATTTCTTCTCACAGGCTAAAAATTAAACAGTTCTTTAGATAATTACAGGTCACAGCCTTCACCCCATTTCACTACATGGCCTCTCTCTCTGCCTTTATTTTCCTTGTTACTGGAGGATTTGGACAATAGAGTGGTCTTGGCATCTTTATTAATTGTTCTGAGATTGTGCTCATTAATTGAGGAATGATACTGGCAGCCAGTTTCTAACTTTCTGACCTAGCAACAGTCACTCTCCTGAAACGACAGCAGCACTCATCAAGTGCTTGGCATACACAGGGAACTGGTTTAGTACCGTGTAGTTTTAAAATAACAAGCTGGAGCTTAGAGCATTACGGTTTCTGGAAAACTAAATATATTTAATTTTAGGCAGAACTTCACAGTTTATCATTGAGCGATGAAAAATAAATCCTTACAATAAGATTATGAAACCTCAGTAACACTGGTTAAGAGGAAGGGAGCTATTACATTGAAGGTTTAAATAGTGAGGCTCAAACATCTTAAATTCTGATTTATTCAGATGACAGAGTTCCATCATCGGCTGTGGTCCAAAACCATGGATATGCCCAGAGTTCTCACCTAATAGCTAGTTTTGTGTGATCTCTCAGTATAAATTGCACTTGTAGCTAGTTTTCCTTTTGTATTTTTATTACTACTCTTGTCATGGGAGAAACAAAAGCATGTTTCACATCCTTATGACATGAAAAAATAACAATAGTGACCTGGAAGAAAGTCAGAGTCACAGAATAGTTTGTGTTGGAAGGGACCTTTAAAAGGACATCTAGTCCAACCCCCCTGCCATGGGCAGGGACACCGGGACACCTTCCACTAGAAAATAAGAAATAGTGATGACAAATAAGTTGAATTGTTATGCAAATGTGTTATTTAAAAATAGATTCAGATTTTCCTGTTTCCTAAGTATCCTTTATAGGGTCCAGTTTCCAATTCCTCTTACCATCCATTGGATAGAGAATACAAGAAACTTCCCAGGACTTATCCTAAGCAAGAATAACTGTGACAATTTTTAATCTTTGACAAAAAAAAAAAAAATAGTACTGGCCTATGGTATTACTATAATTGCACCGTCTGGGGTGGTAATTGTGGTCCTGTTGATTCTGAGTGTACAAATTTTTATGCTTTCCTTTCTTTGAAGGTTGGTACACGAAGGTATATGGCTCCCGAGGTACTAGAAGGTGCTATCAACTTCCAAAGGGATGCGTTTTTGAGAATAGATATGTATGCCATGGGACTGGTCCTCTGGGAACTGGCGTCACGCTGCACCGCCTCGGATGGTAAGCAAAGCCAGCTGGTCTGTGGAATGCTGAACGTTGTGGGAGAGGTGTACTGAAAGCAGGGAATGGGAAGGTAGATCATAAGTAATGAAAGTTAATGAGGGTGGTGAGTCCTGTGGGGAAATGGATGAAACACCAACATGGTGTAGTCACTTCATAATTTAGTATTTAGGGAAAGTTGTTTTGGTGTGGTTTGTTTTTTTTTCCCCTAGTTGCAATTTCTTCTGGTCATGGTGAGGAAGAGACTGTGGAACTCCTAACACAGTATGTTCCATTTCTTCTGAGTTCAGCCTGACAGTCTCAGTGCCCATCAGTTCATCTTAAACATCTGGAGGCTTTTCCTAAACAAAAGCTCAGATGAGCTCCACCTGGTAACAGAGACTGAGGAGGTGATGCCTCCTGCCATGCACCCTGGGATGTGGACAGCGAGGCACTTAATCCTGTCCCAACATAGTGAGGGAATACAAGGCTAAAAGACCTGCAGAATTTTCTTAGGACAACACATATATTATTACAAAGAGCACTGATGCAGTTAATCATTTTCTAGCTGCTCGTAAGCAGCACGGTCCCTCCTGAATCACGGTGAGCTTCAGGGCATCAGAGAGTCGGTTCTCTGTGCTGAGACACAGAAAAGTCTCTGGTTTAGCCACAGGTGCCAGAGTGAGACTGTGCCGTGCCACTTCAATGCTCCCTACCTTCTCTTTCTCATCACTAATGTAACATTAGTGCAGCTCGTACAGATATTAGAAGGGAGGAATTTCTAATTGCTGACAGCTTAGAAATTGAAAACCCGGTAACGTCTTCAAGTCTGCAGCCAGTACTTGGTTAGCTGGGGCCAGCACAGTTGTCTTCCTCAAAGCAAACCACTGCGTCCAGTTTTTAAGCTATCGGGGAAAGATATCAGATACCCTGTTTAAAGTATGAATGATATTCTTAAATTTTGTAAAGAGAGATCTTTTATGGGTGCCCAGTATAAGCTGGAATTAATCAAGAACAAGACAGAATGCTCAAAAATGGGAGAAAGTTGTGTTTTCAGTACAGTCCCTAAAGCAGCTGAGTTCAGCAAAGGGAACAGGCCAGTTTGGGTTGGGCTGGGGATGGCGTTTGTGTAAAACTCCCCTGTGGGAACCCGCTGGAGCTGCCAGACACCCACATAAACACCCTGACCTGCGCCGCAGAGCTCAGCGGGGTGCTGCTCCGTGCCCAGCAGGGCCCGCTGCCTCAGCCCTTCCTGGTGCAGGAGAAGCCACGAGGGAGATTTGACCCTTTTAAAAACCTGTAGCTGTTTGCTAAGAGGAGAGGCAGAGTCTTGCCCAGATCCCGGGGGCAGCCCCACAGCCCGTGTGGATTCCTGAGGCCTCGCTGTGCTGCGACACATGCGTGTGGAAGCGGCTCTGGAGGTGGTGTAGGTTTCTGCCAGGGGTGGGGATTTTTCCAGGAAGTTCAGGAGTGATGGAAAGCAGCTTCCTGAACCACAGCTTGGTGCAGATCTAGTCACAGCTGTTGGTTTTCTCTCTGCAAAGAATTTTTTTTTTTTTAAGAAAGCATCACTGTCTAATCAGCTTCATCTGTACCAGACTGTTCATTTCTTCTGTCTGCCCCTTCCTCCTTTTTTCAGCATCTTGATCTCAGAGCACAAAATACGTATGACAGTAGCGTAGAATTGTATCATCTACAGCTGTGTAATCTATAGTTCAGCATATAAACCTCATTCTGTTGAGGACAGACACCCTGCTTAGTCTCCAACACACCTGTTTAGCCCCGGGCTGTGGTGATGGGAAAAGGGACATGGTGGTTGCTGGTGTGAATTATTTTCAATGCAAGAGGCCATTCACAGCGTGGTAATCAGGTACCAGCAGAGACAAGAACTGGGGAGGAGGAGGATGATTTATCCTAGGGAAGTATTTTGTTGGGGGAGAAGCTGGGGACCAGGGGAGCCTCTCCCTGCCCTTGGGTTTCAGCTGAAAGGGAGCTGGGCAAGGAGGTGCCACATGCAGGAGAGCGAAGCCGTGTGCCTCCTGGAAACACTGCTGCTGCTTCACAGAATCCCAGAATCACCGAGGTTGGAAAAGCCCCTGAAGCTCCTCCAGCCCC